CCCCCCCCCCCCCCCCCCATTGCATTTATTTTAGTATTCCCTGAAGCTTCAACATGAATTATTTATGATGATGTGAACTTTTTTCCTTATCAATATGGTGTAATCATGTGAAATGATGTCACTTAATATGTAAGAAAAAATTCTGAATGAGGAATTCCATATACCTAAGGATGCACGAATGGTCTTAGTCATAGATATTTGATTTTTTTTTCAAATTAAGGTTCATGTACAATTTATGAAAATCTGGTCTAAATTATTAAGAAAGGATCATCTTTTTTTTATTTTTTCTCTGAAGAAAGACTCGGGCCTGAGGACACACGCCAACTCATTCATGCAATTGGTTAGGACAACGTTACACATGGCCCTTATATGCGTCTTCCTGTTGTCTAAGTGATATGTTTTCTTATTTATTTCTTTTCCAGACAATCTGAAGTGGGAACAGATGCTCCAGCTTATTGATACTATTGGTGAGACCATCGTTTACCACAATCCCATGACCATCACATGGCTTTTCCTACTTCATTGAAAACTGATTGCCTATTTTCCTAATATATTTCCAGAAAAAATCGGGCTGGAGGAGACACGCCAACTCAGTGATGCAATTGGTAAGGAATACTTTCCACATGCCCTGTATCATGTGACTCATCTTGAAGAAAAAATTGCGTATAAAGTAAATATCTGTATGACGTTGGGCTCGTTTCCATGGTCCAATAACTTGGAATACCACTCCTGAAGCAAGTAGTCAGAAGGTAGGGACAGTACGTATTAAGACGAGACAATTTTTTCCTGGCGGGATTTTCCCAATTCTTTCCAGAAAAACTTGGGCAGGAAGAGGCGCGCCAACTCATCTATGTATGTGGTAAGGGCGACCTCCCCCATGTCATATCACGTGCCTTTTCCTGTCGTAAAAATTGCATCTTTTCTAAATTTTTTCCAGACATACTTGAGCCGAGGCAGAGGTGGCAGCTCTTTGATTCCCTTGGTGAAGACACTGTTTACCTATCTCTCCACCCTCCCCATAGATTTCCCCTCATATTATTTTATTCTTCCAAGGCGGAATTACCTATTTTCTCACATCTTTCCAGAAAAACTCGTTCTGGAGGAGACACGACAACTCATTGGTGCATTTAGTGAGGACGAAGTTCCCTTCAACCTAGATGATGGGGCTTTTCTCGCACAGTTTCACTATATAAAAGACACCAGAAAAGGTCAACAGGAACTCGTCCTTGTCTACGAAGTTGAGTAACTAAGGAAACCACTCCTGTAGCAAATAATAAGGAAGAGGGACGATAGCATGCCTTAAACCTTTCCCATTAACCCCTTTAGAAGCGAACTATGCTTGATTATGTTAAATGGTCCTTCTTTCATAAAGCGACATTTAAAAGTGAAAATGACCCATTAAAAACTATTTACCAAATTTTCAAATGTTACAGTGAAAGAACTGTTGAATATATAGGGTGCCCGGAAATAAGTGCACCATTATATATTTTTAAGTTTCTTGAAAACCAGGAAATCAAACTGTCTTAAACAGGTTGACGGTCATGCAGGGCCTCAAATCAGAGGGGGGCAGGGGGTGCGCTTGCCCCGGGCGTCTCCTAAGAAAGGGAGCACCGAGAAGGGAGGGGGGCGAAGCAAACGAAAGGCGAATGAGGCACAGAAAAAAATGGGGGAAGGGGAAAGTGTTGCGCAGTGAAAATAAAATCAAGCAGCAAAGAAAGTGGTTTTTGATCATGTCATTGACACATTTTCGTTTTGCAAAGATAGGAAAGCTGTGCTATAATTATAGGGGTGTAGGAAAAAAGCCACCCGGAATTAAGACCCCCAGATTCATTCTTGGAATTTGTTTTCAAATAACAATTGCTCTTAGGTCATGTAAGGTTTCTTTTTTTTATTTTATCTCCCTCCTATCCACTTTCATAACTTTTTCCAGGGTGTAGTGAGGATTAGGATTGGCCTCCCCTCCTCAACTCCCCCGGAAGTCTGTTCAAGCATTGCATTGAGATGAATTCGTAGCTGCACAGAGTCATCCTTCCCTTCATAATGAAAGTAGGAAAATACAATTTGTTATAGATTTAAAGAAGTGCTTCCAATCGAGCGATTATTTGCATCTTCCATCGTTTTATTCTAAATGGAAACGAAAAATGAATGATATTTTACTCGAATAATTGATGGAAATTCACCCTAAAAACATATTGAAAGCATGTATAATTATGAGCCACATCCCTGCGTGAATGTGTCTCAACATCGCCAAATGAATATCTTTTATTATATGGTATGTCTAAATATATAAAAATGAATAATTACGAAGCAAGCACCCAGGTGACTTTTTCTGCTTTTTTCAATTCTGGGGGTCTTTTTTCCAGGTTGTTTTTTTTTCGAACCCCAATTATAGAGTGCGACTCGCGAGCGTGTCAATGAATTCTCTTGGGATACTCATGAGCTCATGATTATTCCGTATACTTGAATTTAAAAAAAGCCAACTTGGCTTTGCCATTCAGATTCACTCAAAGAGAGGGCGTGGAAATTTAGACGTGGATACGCAGGTACTAGTTCTTGGAGGATTGGCAAGCACCAGTCAGGGAAAACGCCAGGGAAGGGGGGGGGCGCGTCTATAGCCGCGTTCAGACACGACCCAGCTTGCCTGGCAAGCTGGAAATTTTCCAGGAACTAATGGAGCTGGAACGGCACATCCCGCCCCTGCGACCCGAGGTGCCGGGCAAAAGCCGGACCAGCAAATTGGTGGCTTTTTTTCCTGGGAGGTTGGGAAACTGGTTTTGCCTGAACTTCATACACTCCCTGGTTCATTCCCATTTTCCACTTTTCAGAGTGATCAAGTGCTTCTCTTATCTCGTTATGGCGTCCGTCTGGAATGATGACGACACTGAACACATAATTTCAATCTTGAATGAAGGGCAAATTCGGGACATGTTTGACGGAATAATTCGTAACGCCCAGGTGTATCAAACGATATCTGCTTGACTGCAGGAAAAAGGGGGTAACTAATTTACCTGCAGTAGTGCAAAGCAAAATGAAATTTCTGAAGAAGAGCTACCGCGAAGTTCGTGATAAAAATAAGCGCACAGGGCAGAAAATAAGTTGAAATTGAAAATGAAATTCTACAGAGGTTTGGACTCCATTCTGGGCAATCGAGCTGCCACTCAGCCACTGAATGTGATAGATGGCGTGGTGGAATAATTATGTTACTAATTGCATCTATACAACAGCTAGGATTACACGATTGTATCATTACAAATTACATATTTTAATGAATTTTTATTTCTACAAACTACATTGGAATACATAATACATTCAGAAATAAGAAGAAACGACTAACCTCAAAGATATCCTTCATCATGCAGAAGTTTTCGGTTCAAACTACTGTTTTGAGAACAGTAGTTTGGACCAAATGAAATAACCATCCCACCATGTATTTTCTCTTTAATGAGCATAGACTGAGCAATAAATCAGAGTGTGCGAATTGAAAGTGCAAGAAACAGCTGCTTGCAAATGAAATCGCTGCCAACTCAAAAAAACTTGGCAAACGTAGTCTCCGATTCCACTTCTCTATTCTCCTTCGATACCTTAAATCATGTAAGGCTTTCTGGATTCAACAACGTCTAAAGCAAAGAAGGAAATACAGAGCAAGGAGAGCGTCATGATGCATGGCAGGCAGAGCACGTGAAAGCGGAGCAGGACGGGAAAGACTGAACAGTCCTGCTCCGCTTTCCTGGGAATTTGCGCCCTGCGGCTAGGATTAAGACCTCGCCAAATTCTGCGCAAATTTTTTGTGCCTGAACACTTTCATCATTCCCAGTATGCCGGACAAGCTGGGGTTTTCGTGCGCCTGAACGCGGCTCATGACTCCCTGCCCCGGGGCGCCACAGGGGCCCTGCGGCCACGGCCATATTGACCTAGTGGCTTTCCTCGGACAATGTTATTTTTATATCCATAAGCGACAACATACTTCGGTCATCAAGAGCTACTTGCAATTTTAAGTGCTTTTTGCAAACTTTTTAGTGAGGCGCACCAGTATGCCTCATGGCGTGTGGAATGCAATTCGGCTTACCACACCACAAGGGCCACAGGTGGGTCTCACAAGTTTTAATACACCTTGGGGCCATTCTCAAGTTTATCTTGTTTGAATTAAATTTTTCCCGCGGCACCTCTGACGCTGTCCGTTTCGCAGCAGTCTGTGACGTCAGGTGATGGAGTACTTCCCCAAATTGTATAATCTGTCCCAAAAATTTGTGGAACCTTTTTCAATTTTTAACCACTCGTAATTGGTTCAGGAAATCGCTGTGTGCCTTTGTGGGATGACTAATACATCAAATGAGCACATGCGTGCAAAGTCATGACAATATCCATTCGCTGGTTCTTAAATACAGGAGGTTATTCAGGGCGTACCAGAATAAGGGAATGTCGCCAGAACAGTCAAAAATGGATGGAAGGCGATGGTCCTTACATAGAATAAGCTGCTGCACCTCCAAAGTGAATCAATGGTTGAACATTTTTGGGGACTGTGCGGAACCACCGACAGTACGATAGGAGGAATTTCTATAGGTTTTGTGCTGGCTTTATATTTTTTAGACACCGTTTATTGTTAATCCTGCAATTAGCGGAGCGCGAAGTATTAAGGATGAATCTGGAGAGACAAGAGAGAGAAATAATGAAGAATATGCTACATTGATTGAATTTAACTATTTTAAGCCTATGCGTAAAAGAACCCTTTTCCTTGACCATGAAGCTGGCTTCCCTGCGCCATGAAGTTAGGTCTCACTACATTTATTTTCATGACCCCTGTGAGAGTAAATGTGATTGAGGAAAGATCAGCCCATGAACACTTCACCCAGTTCACTTTCTTGGTCCACAGCCTCACAAAACCTCTGCAGCACTGAGGTGCAACAAAGAAAATGAGGTGGGGCGCACCGGTGCGCCCCACATTCTTTGAAAAAGGGGAGCGATTTTTCTCCAAAAAGAGAGTAAAATAGCTAACTCCAGTTTCACTCCCGTCCAAAGAGAAGAATTGCTCTCCTCATCTGTGAGTAAAAACGCCCCCATCAGAAAGTGATAAGGATGTCATGCAAATGCGAAAATTCTCATATACAGGTATACTGTGTGTCGCCTTCCCACTCGTACAGGCGTTGAACAACCTCAGAGTGTACTTATTTGAACACACGTCAGAGGATGGACAACCTCGTATAGGCTCTATAGAGTGTCCGAGATATCAGTCCATAATTACACCATCTAATTAAGATATGATGAATGAAGTTTACAGACACAGTAAATTCTAGGTCTCCTGTGCGGATAAAATGATAAACGTTCCAAAAGGGTTCTCAATAGGAAAATGAGCTCGTTAATGGCCTGGACTCTATGAATTTGTCTTGAATATGTGGATGACAAATGATGAAGTCCCCGTGTTTATCGATTCTTATAATGAGACTAGGCGAGACATATGCCAAGGTACTAAACGATCCTGCGAGGCACGATTCCAGGAAAGAGGGGAGGGAACTTTTGTGTACTGTGTGAAAAGCGAGACCCTTACCTCCAACTAGCGGCCTGGCGAAGAACTTCAAGGTGTTCGCTTCGATACGAAAGATGAGGGAGCATTTGGTGAGTAAGAAGAGAGTAAATTCGAAAAGCTCACGGTGTGCTCACTTTTTACTCCCCAAACGCTCGGAATTTTCTAAGAGTGCATGATGCAGGAAAACGAACTCAATGAGGTGCACCGGTGTGCCTCAAGGCGATCAACCTGTTAAAAATTTGGGATGAAAAGAGTTCTATTAGCCAGGAAAGACCTCTTAAAATCTCGCAATCTCCGCCAAATTATATTGATTTTCCCGATCTTTCGGCTAAACATAGAATGAATGCGACTCTCTCGATCAGTACTCATCTTGTCTTCTCTCGGGTTAGTTAGTTTGGGCTCTATTACTCTTTGCTTTTCGTGACTACTTTGTCCGTCTTACAGGTCGTAAGTCCACTAAGGCAATAAGAAGCCCCCTTATGCGGGGTATTACTATAGACAAGGTGTATTTTGCCTGCTAGGGCGGAAGCGCTCGATGAAGCTAACCCCGTGTTGAACGTGCGTGCAACCACAATTCCTTGTTTGCCTAGCATACAGTCCACACTTCCTAGCATTTAAATTACTGCGAAATTTTCTAATCCTCATCAGCTAAAACATACACTAATGCAATCTGCTCATGAAGATATTTCGACTGATATAACACATGTATCATTCGACGGGTGTTC